GTGATTCCGGAAGTACGCGTAATCGGTTTTTAAGTCATCTAAGAAAAGTGGTACTATATAAGACAGCATGTTAGATCACCAAATTTCAAGAGAATCCAGTGCCAAATGTACTGGGCAACATTTATCGGATTGCAGATGCCAACACACATGCTACCCTGTGCTAAAGGCATCACATTACTATGAATTTATTACATGTCCCGTGTCATAGTATCAGTGTTGTCAATGGTGTTAATGATAAGAACAAGCATTTAGAATCAGAGACACATTGGGTGTAACTAAAGAATTTGACATTGTGCCATGCTATAGTTCGAGTCTCCAACTAAGGTAAATTTAATTTATTCACTCACAAGTTTTTTTATTTCATCCTTAATTGTAAAAATGAAATACTCTCCTCATTGCCAAATCTCTTACAGTTCTGGAAGTAATTGAGTGGATAGACAAAACAGTAAATCTACAAAGCCAGACTCTCCGAAAATTCTTCAGGCAGTCAACATAAGTATTTAAAATGTAAATTGTGTTAATTATTAAATATGTTAAATTAAGAGGTAAGAAAAGTGAATATAAAGTTGTTATAAGTAAAAAATTCATTGAAGTATATTCATAGCAAAACTTCTGAAAATTCACTTAAAAGAAAGAAATCTAAATCCCCTTACATTCATTACAAAGTGTTTTTCTGTGGTATCTTCCAAACTTGTTCATACCTTTGGTAGTATGTTTATGAACTATAGAAATATAGGGTAAGATTATGAACCAACTGTTAATTCTTCTAAAGTAGTACGCTTTTTCTAGTTAGTTTTCTTAGGCAGCGGTCACACAGCAGCCGATTTTGGCCGAATTTCGGCGTCCGACGTCGGTGTTTTGTCCGGATCCATGCCCGATTCGTTTCAAACACGTGCTTGTAAACCGGAAATGTCATAGTGCATCCGAAAACGACCTCTTCCGACGGCCGTCCGAAAACATGGACTGTCGGACGAGTAATATCTGTTCCGTTTGGATTTGTCGGTTCCAGTCGGCCGAAAACAGCTGAAGCCCACGTGTCGCCATCAGAGCCATTGTGTTTTGATCCCGGAGAAAGAAGTTGTGTTGGTAAGTATAGCGATGTCAATTGCTAATAATTATATTTGTTTGTTAATATTGTGAAAGAACAAATTATTAATTGTAGGTTTTGTGTATTTGCGTCTATGCGAATTACCTACGCTTTTTGTGGGGGTAACATAACCTGTGAGTAGGAACGTGCGTATAATATTGTACTAAACGAAATTGTGGTTCAATAATTTTTACAGCTTGAAATTACATATTATTTCTGAATTATTAGTTCATTTCAAATGTTTTATATTGTTTAGGCGTGCCTCGTGTTGTTTTGAGCCTTCGTGTTTGTCTTTAGTGTATCCGATTAATATTAGGTCGTGAATTGTATATCTCCATGTTTATTTCATTCCTTCTGTATGTGAGAATTCATTCTTAATTTAAGTTACTCAGGATATTGTTCGCTAATTTTTAACAAAGTAATTGAATTTTCATCACGAGGTATTTTCCTAATTTGATTCACAATTCAATTTCAGGATCAGTATGTATTTCTTCCAGTCGACACATTTTTTCATTTTCATACTATTTTTAATATTATTTAATTTTATCATGGAGAAAGATTCATTATCGTGAAAGAGAATGGTAGTTTTTTAGATGCCCAACCCCAAGCAGAAGTTAAATTAATGAGGTTACATGTATCATATTACAATTTCATGCAATATTCTATTTGATTTTATTACAGAGACCCAAATGGATCCAGTTTCGTTGATCGAATTGGTTCGAGAAGAGGAGGGGATTGTGGGATCCCCGAGAAAATGTTACAAAGATAGAGATGCCACTAAAGAATTGGGAAAGAAATTGCTTCCTTAATGGATCAACAAGTTAGTAACAATTTTATGAGGATTTCTGTTTTTGAAAGCTCTTAACTTTTAAGTTTTACCAGTTAGTTACATTTTTATTCTTAAGTAAACATTTTAATTCCATTATTCAGACTTCTTGTGCAATTCAAAAATAAATCAATATTTTTTATAGTATTTTCAATAACTTCAAATAAAAGCTTTGAAAAGTATATTAGTGATAGAAGTAATGACAAAAGAAGAGTGATTATTTAAATGGAAAAATTAAAAATATTACTATCAATTTGATAATTGGCAATTAAAATGTCTAAAATGTTGTTTCAGGTGATTAATGTGAAAAGCAAATGGGGCAACCTCCGCGACACATACAGGAGGAGCTTACAAAAAAATAAAAGCAAGAGTGGTGACGATTCACCGGAATGAGGGTGGAAGTATTCGGAGGTAATGGATTTCCTCCAGAGTGTTCTGCTGCCACGGGAGACCGTTACTAATGTGCAGCAACACGAGTCTGCTCCGGGCCCCCTTGAACTGCCAACCCCCTTAGCAATGACTGTTCTCCAATGGACAGTGAGAAGTGTTTGGAAATGCTGTGGAAGTCATTTCCCTTGAAGTGGGAGAATCTTGCCACAGCATAACCTCCACTCCTCAGCCTCTCCGTTCCAGGAAAAGGAAAGCCGATGCTATCGGCGAGCTTCTGGAATTGGAGAGCAGAAAATTGCAACACTCAAAACTGAGGAAATGAATCCGAGCGGCATTTCCTTTTTGAGTTTTGAGTCATGCTGAGTCTTTGCCTGACTACAAAGAAATTGGAAGTCAGGCAAAAAGATAGATCAAGTATTTATAGATGCATGAAGGATATAATAATGCTGAGGATCGAAACAAATGTTCGGCCCTAAGCCGCCATACTGATTGAGGTTTTCTGGGTTTACTCAATCGCTTAAGGCGTATGCCGGATGGTCCTAGATTTGTTCTCCCAGGCGTAAATGTACAGCTTGTTCTCCCCACTTAAAATGTATGTAATTCAGTGGTTAGGCGGGAAGCCATTAATAAAAGACATTATTATTATTATTATTATTATTAGATTATTATTATTTATTATTATTATTATTATTATTATTGTTTATTTCCCTAATCTCATATGTTAAGATTTAATTACTTTAATAAACAAAAATCACTTAAATAATCTTCAATAAATTAATAAAACCCTCATCACTGATGCATGTTAATATATCAAAAGAATGAGGATATAGTGATTTTGAAGGTAGAGAATTATACTCTCGCTGATACCATCCAAAATGTAAAAAAAAAGTACTTGGAGACATCCGCAAGTACTCAAAAAACTTTTGCGGCTGGCGCAATAACTGCGGGAAAAGGGTGTGAAATTCACCATTTTTCTCGCGATCTTCGAAAATTTCGTTGACCCCACATATCTCGCTCTTTTTCAAGAAGCAAGATCTTCAGAAGGGGCTCGTTTCCATAACAAGATCGTCCTTCTGCCATACTTTTTTCCAGTGGTGAGCTTTGGGTCAATGTTCTGAAAACGAGCTGTGAATTTATGCGGAGATTCGGACGGAATTTTCGGATGCAACATTCGGGCTTAGGTGAACCGAAGTCGACCCGAATTCGCTCGCGGTCGTCCGACGAGACCGACCGAGATCTTCGCTGAGGTGACCGACGGGCCTTAGTTCCTAATGTGTCAGTTTTGCTTACTATACGGCAGGAGATATTGTTACATTAACTAGATGCATGTAATTAACTAAGTGACATTTGGAATAAAAACCAAATTACAACAAACATGTTCATGCACATTAAATAGATATTAGAAAGAAAATGCATGCTGATTTATGAATAAAATTATTAAAAAAAAATAATAAAAAAAAAAACTATTGATACAATAAAATTGATGAAGTGAAAAGGCAATAAAAATCCTAACATATTGCCACTAAATTCAACTTGCAATGAAAACCACACAACATACAATACCTGCATTCAAAACCACTAATAAAAATGTTCATTTACATCCTATTAATCCAGGACTAGCAATAATGAATTACTACAAAGTAATGTATCCTTAACAGTAACGAGCATTTACAAGATTGCATCAGTAATCCATCATTGAATACAATTTTAAATCAAGTGTGTCAAACTGGCAATCAGTAAGTAACATGCATTTTGAATCCTGTAACCAAATATTGTTGATACTTTTTGGCCATAACGAACTGTTTATCGTCTTTGATAAATTAGCAGAAAACAAATACTCCAACAGTTCTTGTCAACAAATTTCAAAGGCCCGAACTTCTTAAAACTCACAAATAAATTTCAATCAACAAATTTCATTTAATGTTGGAATTGTTGAACGTATTTAACCAAATACTGGATACAACCATTGTAAATTAGATATTCAGAATGAATTTTTAACATCAACTTCTATTGTGTAATTCAGTATTTTACCAATGAGAAATGTGGCTTAATTGAAATAAGTTTGACATACTTGTTTTAAATAATAAATACAAATCTTCATAATACTCTCAGAAACTCCATCACAGAAAAGAAAAGACTGATGTCAAAAAGTAATATTGCTGCAAGTACCATTCATAATTTCTAAGCATTATATCCTGGCACAACTCATTCTCAACATGAAATTAATTTAATACACACAACTGTGTTCACAAAGCTTTTAAGAAGGTCTGGTAAGGAATTACACAATCCCAACGATCCACTGTATGTTCAAGAAAAACAATAGAACTAACTGTCTGTATATTTATTTTATTATCCATAATATTTCATTAATTTCCCATATAATTAATGTTTTAACTAAATTTCTCTTACAACACAGGGGAAGTATCTAATTAAATTATTTAAATGTGAATGAAACTTTCCCTTTGCTAGCGCTTCAAAAAGCCTATTTTAATTAATACATAGTGTATCCAAGTGCCCCTTGCCCACTCTCCTGATCATGGGATAGTAGAGCATTTGAATAGCAGAAGGATTCAAGAACTGAACATTTTCAGATGTTTAACACTTATATTATTACACTATACCCACAATAAATCATAACATGCCATGGCCGAGATGTATGAGACATAAAAGATGAATTATTCAATTTATTGCAATGAAATATATCTTAATATCAAAAGGCATTCAACTAAGCCATTTTCCTCCTTTCAGTGTTGTATAAGTTTATCATGCTAAATATCATTATGTGCGAAAGATTCAAGAATCTGTAAGAATTCACACCTGAGAAATATCAACATTCCTCCCATCTCTAATACAAACAGAAGAACCAAAAGTTATGGGATGCCTTCCCACCAACATTTCAGACCTCTTCAGGCTTGGCAAAGGCGATGATGAAATTAGTCGTGAATGACAGTCTGAAGGAGTCCTGAAGAGATGTTAACTAACACAGTTTCAATAGTTGCTCACTTACATGGGTGTTCCGTTGGTACAAATCATAAATACAAATGGACCTTCCGGCGTCCCAATAAAGTTCAACAGAGTTTGTGTCCATGAAGAGACGTAGCAAAATCACTTGGACAAATAACTGACGACATTCTTCTATTCCAATGATGCACATTAAGGCCATGACGGGTTGCTGATCCAAAGTCTATGACATGACCATTCGCCCAGGACTCAAACCAACCATCCCATATCACCATTGGCACACAATTATATGCTTTCTCTGTGCCCAGTGCCCAATTTTGGCCCTTAGCCTCACAGGGTCTTTCACAGCATCTGAACACCCAACTTCTGCAGCACCAAATGGAATTGTTACCAATTGAAACATGCTGTTTTTGTTGTTGTTTTTTTTCAATCACTAATCAGATCTAGGTCACGAGCCCAAGAGAAAGAGTAAATTCCTATGTTGTGCTGTTAGAAAAAAAGGTTCAGATATGAGCAACTACTGCCTAGATACAATGGCCTCATGGGTTTTGGGTTTCTCAAAGTTCATTCTTCCATCTTTAATCTTCTCTTCTTTTGAAACATCCGCCTACCCCTAAATCTTCCTTGGCGCTTTGCGGAAGCCTGCATGTCCTTGAACTGTTCGAGATCTGGGGTCTATCTTCTATTGCAATGTTGCAACAGAACAAAATAGTGTTGCTCTGATAGAATAGAAACTTTACAGCATAGAATCCATTTAATTGCAGAAGCCATTGGTCGCTGTAATTAAGCACACGTGGTCCGCCTCAATCCTGGTGCTGGGGCATAATACCAGCAATGCAGGGCCCTTTCTCAAGGAATACTTGTCTTTTCCAGAAACTGAATGTCCCATGCTTCAACGAACACACTGTGTGAATAAACTCTGTTAACCTGTTGCTACCTGTATGGTAAAATTTTGCTATCCCATGACTTTTGGCTCTTTAATGATTTACACAATTTTCAACTACAAAAAATATAATAAAATCATCTTTTATGGATTATTTTTTCCATCTATACTACATCTGTGGATTTAAAACTCACAGGCCAGCTGATAGAGGTCTCCAGAACAAACTTCAGGTTCAATCCATTCTCCATAAGAGCCTAGAAACAAAAATCGATTCATTACATGATAGCGTCTTTAAAAAAGCATTTTACAACCTGACCTGACATGTTTGTCATAATATTACAATACGTAACTACTAGAGGAAGAAACTAAAATATTCAGGGTACTTCTGAATTCATAACAGAATGCAAAATCATTCTAAAGGAGATTTACGTACAAGTAAACCAAATACTTACTAAAGAATATGTATTTGAATGCTTTAGGAATAAAGGGAAATGAGATAATCAGTACTACTATTGAAGTACATGAACTTTGTTTTGACTAAATTTTGCAAAGCAAAAAAACCACCTTGACACATCTCTTAAGTTAGCAGGAGCCTTTTAGCAGAAACAAGAATCCCTATATGCAAAATTCAAGTAATTTCACAATATTTGAAGATTATTTCTGAAGAGCAGCTGTCAAACAGAATTCAATTAGCAAAGAATATGACATTAAAATTTCCTTAGCAAAAACAAAAGAAATAGGATTCAAAGGAAATTGACATAAAAACCAAAATAGAAATAGAAGATGAATAATAGAACAAGAGCCATCATTCAATTACTTCAGAAATAAGTTTACTTCATGGGAAGAAAACTGATTTAAATTTGTTCAGATATAATGGAACAATAAAAAGCAACAGACACAGCCTAGTTGAGACACCTGAGATCACTAATAGAATGTTGAAGGAAAGAAGGAATAAAGACATAACAAGTCGGAAAATTCAAAATACAGTTAATTAAATAGAAAAATACCAAACAAATTAAGAAAAACACCAAAGAATTAATCCAAATGCTTTTCCAATATAGATCCTAAAATGTTGACCAAGAGAAAGGAGAGAAGTAGGCAGGGCAGAGAAAGATGGGATGACTGAACACCTTAATTTTGCAACTACGGAAATACTAGATTAAAAGGAACAAGCCACTAGGGCCAACTCTTAAAAGTTGTTGATGACAATTCACAAAGATGTGAAGAAAATTGAAAACTTTCTTTCATATTATGAGAGACCCTTCTGAAAGCACACGCTATTTTGGTAATAAAATTTCAATTTTAATATTCTTTAGGTGTACGGATTTTTAATAGGCTGATAGATTAAAAGGAATAGATATTAAAAATTTATAAAGAATTTGTTTCTTAAATAGAAGTTTATTGTTGAATTAATACCTTCTAGTCTCTTGCTTCACATTTGTCAACTGGACTAAATGATGTCATAAGACATACAATACCTGAAGATGACAAAGAAAACAAATATTCAAAATGACCTTAACTTCACAAATTACGCATATGTGAAAACAATGACAATTTCATATACAAACCCTAACAGAGGATTGTACTCTAAGGGAACATATAAAACACTACTGAAAAGAGCAACTTCTGGTCACTTGAGATTAAATAAGAAAAAGAGTACAGGAAGAAAAATCAAAAATCCCAGACCTGCAGTCAATATCTATAAAGGTCTCTTTCATTAATCTTGATAGATTTTCTAAAAAATGAATTTACAGTGACCAGTTGAGAGACCTCTTATCAATATAGAAAATCTAAATACGAACTTACCGATCATTCAAATTTTGAATCACATGCGGGTAGTCGAATTACAGCTTACATGATTCCACGTTTTTACACTAGAGCAGGCAGCACACTCAGTTTTGATATTTATAGTATATGCGTGTGAAGTGGTCATGACACAATATTAATTACTTTCCCGATGTATTAATAATATAACTCGCACGCACACACACATTTTTCTTAATATCTTCACAACAAAGCAAGGCACTGGATGCTGATCGTGAACGGTTTGTAAATGTACACTTGAAAATGTCTACCACTTCCAAAAGCGAGCAACAAGAAAAAAAACCGAGGCCGGCTGCAAACAGCGGACAGGAATGTATATCGGTTTTTGCTAAACACAATCACTGCGCTCGCAATCGCTCAGCACTACACAACGAACTCCGAGAATCCGTGGAACGCCGTGGATTTAAATCAGAAGCAAAACACGTGCAAGTCAGGTTCTGCCAACTGTTGCTCGATGACAGTAGTGTTGGCGAGTGATGAATGACTCACGGTTCTTTCCCGCCTTTCCAACAGTTTGAATCTATTTATTCTTTAATTTATGTATTAAACAGTTAAAAACTGTGAGTAACGTGCTATGGGGAGAAGTTAAATTGAAGTTACATTTATGTCCAGAAGCAAAACAAGGGATCATCTCAGCATTTGCTCAAGGATCAGGGATATTGGATGAAAACCTGATCGAGATGGGGGTCATTGACTTAAAATCTGATGTACAAAACTTGTTACAGGTTCTGTAGAATTATACAATCCAAATGGTAAATAATACACTAAATGTAGTTGTTAAAATTAATATTAGTTTCCTTTCGGATGCTCGATATAGTCTCTAATTGTATAGAAACAGTTGTGCAGCAGAAAAAGGTGTTACTTGGGACTTAACCTTTTGTATCGAATTTAATGGTTTAATGTCATCCCGCAAGGTGTTTTAAAATAATGTACGTGTATTGTGAGTGATTTTTTGTAGTGAGCTGTTGATACTGTCACCTGATGAATAAGATTCGTCGAGTGTTACAGACATCGGCGTTGCCTGAAAATATATTCCCGCCCTTAAGTAAGTCATTTTTAACAAAAATCACTGATTCGTGTATGAAGAGACAAGGAAATGGTAAGATACCTAGATTAATAAAGAGAGGCTTACAAGGATCAGTTGGGTGGGACTTGCTTATTATTCGTATAATTCTTTCTTGTAATCTAAAAATCTCAGAGCTATACGATGTATTTCCCCAGAATATTATGCCATATCCCAGGCGGGAATGAACATTCATGAAATATACACGAGCAGAGTGGAGGCTGATTGAATTTGAAAGAATTCTGAAAGCGTAGCATAAAGAATTTAATTTAGTGTTCAATTCATTTAAATGGACGTTCCATGTAAGGTTTGACTGAATTGAAAGATCTAAAAATGTTGTTACCATAACATCAGTCAATGGCACCGTTCATTTTTAGAGAAGAGCAGATCTGTTTACTTGAAATGGAAAACTGCATTGAAACAGTTTTCTTTTCATTTACTATTAATTTGTTATTACGGAACCAATTTGAAATATCGGATATTGCACCACGTACGGTTTCTTTATTGCAAAGAATGTTCGTATCATCCGCAAAGAGAACTGTTACGTATATAAGAAAAATAATATAGCCTAAAATCGATATCTGCCGAACTCCACGTGCAATTGGTAAAGAATCGGGAAGGTGTGAACATAAACTTTCATTATTCCAGTAAGGTATTTCTGCTCCCTGAGATAGTTATTTAAGGTACGAACATAACCAATCTATAGCAATACAATTAATTCCACACGAATGTAATTTCTAAAGTAAAATGTTATGATATATGATGTCAAAAGCTTTTGAACGATTCCAGTAGGTGCCTCGTTTTTATCCATGGATGAGGCGATATCTTTAAGAAAAGAAAATATATGGCTATTTTGGCTGAATCGGTTGTAATACACGTACACGAATTTACAGCGTTAATATGTCAATGCTTCTGTAAGTATTTAGTTGTTATAATAAAGCATTTATTTTATACTTTGGATTTGCCGTATGAAAATACTGCCTGCGATTTCTTTTTCAGTGTACATTGTCCCCGCATTTTCAATCGACGATTGGTACAGTTGCACCGGTTACACCGAGTGAATCGGTCCATCGTCTATGTAGTTCTTCGATGTTACGTTTGCTCCGTGGTGGGGCTAGTGAATAGTGAATCGACTTCGTGACTCACAAATCGTGAGAGCGAACCTCAAGCATAGAGGAGAGTATATCTCTACTCTATGACCTCAAGGCCTCTACGAAAAATCATTCGTGCAACTTCCTAGCGTTGTATACTGAAGAACTCACGTATAAAGTATGGTTCTATTATTTAATGTACATTGTAATATAACATTTATAGCTACAAATTAATGCAGTTATATAAAAGTAACAACTCACTTCATAAATACTCCATGAGTAATTATACTTCTTACATGCATTGATTATTTATACATTTAGAAGGGAACTTCGGTTTAATTGGGCAGTTTGACATAAAATATGATATTACTGATGAATTAAATGATTCAAAAAAGCATATTATGTTCGTTTCTTTCGAGATGTACAAAAAGTTAATGATTTATAAAACGTTAATTACATAAACATCCATTTTCTAGGGATTTTGAAAGAGTCACCTAGATGGCTGCGTCCCACCAATCACAGCGTAGATTGGCGTAGATAGTATCTACTAGATACCGCCACAACTGGTGAATGATTTCAACGATTCAATCACGATTCAACGAATCAGTCTGAAAAGTGAAATAGTACTCTGATTCAATCAATCAGTGGGCCCCTCCGGATATTACATACGGGCAACTTTTGAACGATGGATGTGACATTTCAGGGGATGGGGTAATTAGTTACAAGTCGGCCACATAGAGTATTTTTAAGTATGCAACGTGTGGTGAATAAAAGTGAAAACTGGCATCTTTGTGCTTTACTTTGTCGGGAGGTTTTAGGTGAACTCCTTAGAACCTGGACTGACTTAGCGCATTTTTTTCGATATTGACAATAATGTGAACATGGTTCGTAGTTCTGCACTATGAAAGCAACATGCTTTTGACTATCTTCTTCTTCGGCCAAACGAAAGTTTTAATGCTTGGAGGTTGTCATCAGTGCCCGCTGCGAACTTTTGCCTTCAACTGTTTATTGCACAAGGGAGGGGGATCAAGGTCATCGTTCAAGAAAAGTTGCGCGAGTAATACCATCACTTGCCTTCAGGACGTCATGTGGGAGGAGGACAGGAGGAGGAGGACGTTATGTAGACTTCGTATTGGTGGCCCACCGAATTGTTCTATTTTTGAATAAGAAAGCATGGGCTCTTATCACTTCTCGCTACGAGCGAGAAGGAATTGGCACATTTCCGCGAGTATGCATGTCGAACGACACCACGGGCGTGCCTTCATGTACCTTCGCGCCTAGCGAGAAACAAAGCGCCGCATTTATAATCTTAAACCACGGTGTAAGAAATCTTACACTACACTCTCTACAATAACATAAATACCAGACAAGTACACTTGCTTACCTTTTTTTTTTGGGAACCCTTTCAGAAAAAGGCGCACACTATTCACCAAGCAGATATCAAAGTTTCATGCATATCTCAGAATTCCCTCAAACAAATTCTATCCCCCAAACAGCACACATCTTTTAGAAAAAAGCGACGTCTAGTCACTTTATTGCCATGACTGTGTAGCCAAATATATTGGTCAAACAGACGGACACCAGAATTAAAGAGCATATACACGCTTGGAAACACAATACCAATATATCTCGCTTTGCCAGTCACTTCTCCAGACAGGCCATACATTCAACCCACACACATATATTCGTACACTGGAAATAGAAAATCAATATCACACCCGATTAACTTTGGGAAACCTCCATGTTCATTTAAATGCTAACTTACCGAAAGAAAACATAAACCATAGCTCCTCTTCTCTACTAAAATTATTATTAGACACCACTCCCACACCGCACTCTTCCGGAGCGGCGCAGTAGACAGCACATCGCACCTAGGCCATTACCCTCCTCCATCCACCCCACAGGGGGTACTTAAGCCGCTTGGCTCGCCCGAGCTTGCGCGTGACAAATAGTTCAAAATGCGTGACTTCGTAGCATACGGTGCACGTCACTTTCTATTAGTCTCTATTTAGAGTTTCAGAATTACTCTCAGTATTAAATCTACCGCTCCTCGAAGAGCACTTTAACAATTTAGCTACTAATTTCTTTTCAAAAATAAACGCGTCAAAAAATGACATTATTAGAAATTCAACTTTTGTACGAGCCGGATCCCACGGCCACGTACAAGCGTCGGAGAGATATGCTACAGTACGAGAAACGCCAATACTTGCATGAAAATTGCGGTGAACAACGCCAAAAGCGCGCCAAACGGCTATTGTCTTTCCTGACCTTGTTCTTTTTTCTACATTACAGATCAGCCGTAATGTCCGAAAGGATAAGAATGGCTTCATTGCAGAGAAGTGTGGCGGCGTTTTTTCTCAATAATTATGTTATTTTTGAGTTTTTTGATAACTTGAGAATCCTTTTACAGCGATTACGAGCTAGGATTTTCAACATTCAGCCCGCCAACTTCACACACCTGACCAACATATCGTGGTCGTCTTCAACACTCCAAATCTGAAGGAGATAAAAATCACAATGTCTGAGTGTCAGATAATCTCATTGTTGCAGAAGAGGTTGCCAACAATAAGATCCACTACAACTTTTTCATTTTTATTGCCCACTTATTTTGAGAAATATGTAATAATAAATGAATGAATACTATTATTTCAGGCTCGTTGATATGATTAAATATTACTCAGTTGGTCCTTTCAAAAGGTATATATTCAAATAATCATGTAAATTTATGAGAAATATAAAAGTTTTCAGCATTTAGTGCAAATCCTGTCAAATAAAAATTAACTAACTTTAAGCATATTATAAGTTAATGGAGACTTTTTAGTGATTTATAACTTTTTACCACAAACAACAGTTTCACATTTCAAAGTCATCTGCCTGCTTATCAGGAAGTCTTGTCTAATAATTATGTTTAGTGCAAATTTTCAAGAGTTTAATCTGTTAGTTATGTCTCTTATGTTGCTTGGGCCTTAGTTCAAATTCATCAGGGTAGGCACTTTACCTAGCCCACCCACAGAGCCTTTGCTGCTTGTACTCTACATATGAGAAAGTTAAACTTAGACAAGGGAGAAGATTTTTTGGAATATGAATTTTGTATAAATTAATTAAATTGTATTTTTCAACCAGAACAGATCACTGGCGAGGGATATCACTCGTACCTACTTACTACACTGAATAAAAACAAGCGGGGTAACATGAATCAATATATTATTTATTTTCATTTTACTTTCTGTACATCAATTACAGTTGCCTTTATAACCTTTACCCCAAGTCAAATAAAACACATCAAATTTAATCTATAAGCTCTAGTCAATTCAGGAAAAAACATTTGCCAACATTTTTTATTGATATACTTTCCTTTTATTTTGTTACATACGAATTTCCCCTCATGCTTTATTTTTGGAGTGAACTAGGCATATAATGTTAATGAGGAATTGGTTTTTGAATATTCAAAAAACGAAGAAAACGGAAAAAGTGGGGAAAAGGAAGGAAGGAAGAAAAAAAGAAAGAAAGAAAGGGAAAAAAAAAGTTTTGTTCATATTGAGAAGTGCACAAATTGAAGTCACATATTTTAACAAAATGGTCGGAAACTTATTAAATGAAAATTAATCAAACAAATTGTGTCAGAAAATTTTGAGTCATATGATGATAGACACCTTTACAATACACCCATCATTTCCAAGATAGTATTAACATAATATTAAAGAACATGTCACTATTTTTTATATTCTTATACAAAAATTGGCTGAAAAACCTCGTTGGTTCCCTCTGCAAGACGAGACATACAAAAGTTCTTGATTATGATGCAAAATACTGTTGGTCTGAGTAGCAAATTAATTACATTCTTACTTCATTTAATACTTCTATCATCTGTACTGCATTAACATTGTCCTGGCCACTTCAGCATGTCCTGAAAACATTAAGTAACGTTAAAATGTATACAATGATTTATTCCTATTCATCCTCCACAGAGATGAACAATGTTTAGCTTATCAAGTACCCTTAGCATAAAATACAAAACGCTTACCCAAAACAAATTGTACAATGACATCTTCAGAGCCATCTATAAATGTTTCATAACAATACGACGGCAGAATTTATTATTTAAAAATGAACAAAAATAAATAATGTTAAGTTATTATTTTTCATGGCTGATCCGGTGGCCGAGATCGCTAAGGCAGTAGTGCCGTAGCGATCTCGTACTGAAAGATCGTGGGTTCGAGTCCCCCGCCTAGGGCATGGTTTGAATTGTTATTCACCTCCTATCATGCATCACACATCATCATCATATCAGGGAAGGCAACGGGAAACCACCCTGAATAATTTATGCCAAGAAAACCCGTTATGGGTCACCTAACTTCTGTATATGGAAGATAGGACCAAAGAAGATTATTTTTCATATAATTCACCACTATATCCAACATTCACTAGTGTTTTTGAATGTTCATACATTGGTTCATTTGGGGTTACTGCTGATAATTAGAGCCTGGAAATGCAGGTATTTATTTTACCTCAAATAGGCACGCAAAAAGAGTTATTTTGGCTAAAATTGGAGTGTGAAAAGCCATGTAAACAATACAAAATTGCATTTAAAAGATATTATTGTAAAAAGTTAATAATTGAAATGATTTTTATGTTTACACTAACTCTAAGATTTTCATTTGCACTTACACGTAAGGAAACAATCTTTTCTTTCTTATCTAGATTCTGCATGATTACCCAGTATGATGAATATAAATTTGTTGTATTTGCGATGCTATCTCTTCAAAATGCTTACATCATCTCCCTATTGAATCTTGAAATGACATCAGTGAAATTAGAATTATATTTTTCATTCTTTCCACGTGTGTAATCACCGAGTAACACAGAGCTCAGTACTCAGCAGGGATCGGAGACTACATTCAATTGGTAGGATGGGATTCCTGATGAGGGCAGAAAATGTGTGAGGAGAAAGTGACGGGAGAAAAAAAAATAAAAGCAAAATAATGACAAAAAGTCGAAGCAAAAATAAGGCAAATTGAAAATATACTAAAACAATCCCAAAGTATATTTATGGAATGATTCCTATTGTTAAAAGTCATAAAATTATAATAATAAATAGGCATTTTGTCAAACTTCCAGGCTCTACTGATGAATGCATAAATGCATTATGTATTGCTCATAGCCCTGATGATACGGTAATGTATTCCCAACTAACATAGTTTTATTTCTCTGACTAACATCCCAACAACAACAAACTATTAAGATATAAATATATTTTTAGCACAAAAAAATCACACATGCTGTCAATAAAAAATTGTTTCAACATTTATATTTGCTTCAACTTTGCACCAAGGAAGTAAGTGCAAAATCTTTTCCATTTGGTAAAGATTTCCTGATTTTTGAAATTTATTCTAAGGCGAGACCTCTTAGGAAAATAGTTCATGTTCCATTTGCATTGAATCATTCTTGAAAATAAGAATTCAATCATGTTTCAATCTACTTAGAACTTAAGTCAGAAATACATTTGACTCTGGTTGTAATGAATACCTGGGGGCTAACATTTTTGGTTCACCCTATCTGATAATTCCAAGGTATAATAGGAGAAACCTGGTTGACAGTGCGGTTCCTACATCAGCCACATAGCTTCCATAAGCCTTTGTTTTACATCATGTGTTCTTCAACTAAATGGTCAGTATGATCAGGGGATCAATGGTGAAACCATGCTCTCAAATGTGTTTTAGAGCTTCATAGTAATACTATCATGAACTTCTGAAATATCACTCAGGAAAGGAAATATTTTGTTTCTCTCTCATTATCAGCTGAAACCTTCTGTCAAACTGTAGACTTTCATGCATCAGGTCCTTTTTTTAGTTGTCACTTCTGTAGCCATCTTTAATAAAAACCTTATATTGTTTTTGTACAAACTAGATAAGTTTAGAGATTGTTCCTTTTTACTCGCTATATTGGTTAATCCCTTCTAGAACTCATAGACATATTCATCCTATACATTATACACCTAATTGTACATGGAGATATGGTTTAAGGCTCCTTTATAGAGAATATGTCGCAATGTAAATTCTATAAATGTATTTATTGTGGCACATAATACTGAACACATACAAAACTCCTGTAACATCCTTTGCAAATTTTATCAAAGATAAATTGTTAACTGATTTTATTTCATACTGATAGTTATTCTAATTACAACTAAACTCTGGTTTGTTCCCCTCAGGAACCAGCTTCATGCTGTACCCATTGCCCCACACAGCATTACATCCAATCTCTACTACCCCTATCTAGGGTCTTGGGAGGGAACATCTCTCTCTCTCTCTCTCTCGCTCTCTCTCTCTCGCTCTCTCTCTCTCTCTCGCTCTCTCTCTCTCGCTCGCTCTCTCTCTCTCGCTCGCTCGCTCTTCCCACCTAGTTCTTGGTTATCGTCTAGGCACCACTGTGATCGATATATTCTTACCAGAATAGTAGTTAATGAAGGATAGGGTAGGGAATGATTGATTGAGCAATCAGGTAGAATGCATATTGGCAGACAAAACGGGAGTACCGCAGGAAAACCTGCCGCGAACCCACTTTATTCACCACAAATTCCACTTGGAACCACCAGAGATCAAAATTGGGCACCAGCTGTGGAAGGCATGCAGCTTCACCACTGTGCTACAGGCCCCCCAGTATTATTCTAATTATGTACTCTTGGGCGATTGCTTTCAAATAAATAAATGAGTAAATTTGGAGCAGGTTGGCACTCTTGATCCACTGTCTGCTAGCTCCACAAAAAGAAACAATTATGTTATCAATTATTTCCCCCACCTTCAACATACCACATTGAGAAATACTTTTTTGCGCCACTTCACACAACATATTTTCAATAGCAGAAATATGTCAAAAAGTTGAATGTTTTCATGTTAGATGTTGGTATTTCTTATAGAATGGAACACAATACCCTAGAAGAGCAAACCACCATGACAAAGATTGATTGATAAGTGATTCTAGGTGCATCAACAGCTAAGGTCGTTAGTTCTGTTTGTGTAGTGCATGTCTTTATCACTGTTGGCACAGGTGATCTTCACCCACTGGGTGGCAAGATCCGGCACTGACCTATCTGTTTGCTTCTGGGGTTTTCCTCAACCAGGTATCTCCCACAATCAGGACACTACCCCAGACAGGACAAGCTCCAAGCATCAGATATATGTGGTAGTGAAGGGCTTGCAAGTGCAAATGTACGTGTGTGAAAATAATTGATGAGGATAGATCAAGGGAGAAGCAAAGACTGTGCAGTCTGTGGTCTGTTTGTTAGGGAACTACTCCAGCATTTGCCCAGTGTCAATTGGAGAAAACCACACAAAAAAACTACAGATCAAAGCAGCTGGCTGCTAGAATTCTCTTTCTAATGGTGGCTGAATTCGACCTACCTATGTAGCTTGTGTCAAAAATCCTTTCATCGCTGGGAGTGGAACCCCAGGACCTCCCAGGACCTACCTTTGACAGTGAGCTTGATGTAGAGAGCCCTCTGGTTTTAATGTTAGTAAAATGACAAATACGGTGGGCTTGATCAAACAACAGAAAAAAATTTAGCATATCCAATATGTCAATTAGTCATATATTAAAGTCATGTAGTCGACAGTAGTCAATGTCCACTAAAGTACCCCCAGCTAGTAACAACCTACGCTAAGGACTGTGTCAACCAATTCTGCATGTGGGGATGGTTGACACATTTTGACCTGATGGCTGTTAACAAGTCTGAAAGTTCAACAGTAGAATATTCTCAAAAAAACACCAAAAAATCAGTTGCTAAACTGATATATATATTTCATAGACATAAACAAACTTGTCATAACTAAACTAGAATTTAGTAAAAAGCAAACAAAAAACTATCAACTTCTGCTGAGCAGTTCTGGCCCCCTACAGTTTTTCACCTATGCTCAATTTTATTATTTCAGTAACAACAGCCACAAATCCAAAATTTCAACGTAATTGTGATTTCTTCAAACTTCATTTTATATTGCTCACTCATTCTCAATATCTAAGTGCAGTCTTAACACCTTTCAATGTCTGTTATACTGTAGGAGCACTGTAGGTACTGTGTAATGGTGTACCCCAATGAGTAAATATCACATTATCTTAGGCATGGTACATCTCTTCTTCTTCTTCTTCTTCTTTTTTTTAATTACATAATGATATTGAGTTATGATTTTTTTAATATAAAAAATTAATATCTGTTTATCTGGCCTATAATTTTATGATAAAATTCATAACAGACAATACAAACTTACAAATAAACAAACACAGGTTTAAAAGGTTTGATTAACTTTTAACAAATTCATAATAACTTTTGCATTCTAGCATAAAAGATGACCTCTGAACTATCAATGGCCTATAAATTTAGTTTATATCATCAATCATTAAAAGTGTGGGGTTTCTAATGCTATGGATGGCATTGAAGATGATTTGTATTGAGATACTGATGAAGAGAAAATCAACATGCTGAATACAGAATGGGTCCCTGTCTGATAAGACAACTTATTTTCATTATTCATCTATTGTCTTATCTGCCAAAAAATACGATAAATAGTATTATGATCCCCAAAAATCAGCATCAGAGTCTACCCAATATTCAATTAATTCAAGTCATTAGTGGGAGCCTGGTTTTAATGAAATGTCATTTTTTTCTTTTCACTTTAGAACAATGCCATTTAGTATAGAAATTCATTTTATTTTATGATAAAACAAAATTACCCATTTTTATAAGTAATTTTTATTGCATTTTTCATCAATTTTGACTAATAAGTCATTTTTTCCTTTTTATGTCATTATTACTGCATTTTTCACTGATTTAATTGATTTTAATATAATTTTAATGATACTTGCTTCAAACAATATTTATGAGGTGCAACAAATGTTCACCACAGAATTCCTGAGTAGCCTATTCAATTTCTTCACTCATATATTGTCATGTCAGCCATTATGAATACTATGTAATGAAAGGTTCCTGTGACACTTATCGGTGCATTTGTCAGTTAGGCAGATTTCACGATAAATAAAGGCAGATTTTCTTTTAAAAAACAGTCCAAGTCCAAAGTTTGCAAGCTGAGTTAACTTGAACGAAAGCAAAAAGCCTTGATTTCATCAACAACACATTCAACAGCTTAAGTTGTTCATATGAAGTGGTTTTGATCAAATTTTTAATGCAACTTTTCTTTGTTTTCAGGATATTTTTAAAGCAATTTATTGATCATTTTTGGCAATGTTTTAGGTCATCAATATCTGCCCCCTAGTTATTAGAGTTCTAATATACACAAACAACTTTGTACACTACTACTGTTCAAAGAAATTAGATTAACAAACATTATGTAATATTAAATTGAAATTCACCCTTCAAGCAACTTCAAATACATAAAATGCTATCTTACCTAATTGAAGTTCAATGTACAAAAATAGCATTATCACATGAATGGGCACATCACGAACATTATTTCTATTTGCCCAAACCTGAAAAAATCACATAATTAAGCTCACTTCTGAAATATTCACTTCTTATTTATTAAACATAAAAAAAAAGTAAAAATACCTGCTTCAAAGTTTCCCCTGCTTTGTCTAATTCTCCACGTATAGCAAATGCAACTGCTAAGTTATACAACATTACAGATTTTGCAGTATGGAGTGAAGTAGGATACCATGCTAAAATCACAAAAATAGTTTAAATAACAATGATGTAGACAGTATGTAAAACTTTGATGTAAGACTTCAAAACTAGTAAAACAAGAAAAGAAAAAAAATGAACTGTTTTCTTAAATATATTTCAATAATCATACAAAATATACAGAAAATTTAACTACAAATTATACTATCTATACAAATCACAAGATTACCGAACCATCTGCATCAAGTACCATACAGAGAAGAATTCCTGAGGAAAGAGAAAACCAAAGGTATCCATAATAAAAAGAGAGTAAAAATCTGTATGCAATGTTGGAGGGAAAGGAGAAAAGCTCATTAGGATTAGAATAAAATATTAATCATTTTTGTACGATAATTCCAAAAAATTAATTCTATTATATACATAAAAAACTGTAACAGTCTTACATAATGTTATTTCATAATTTGATTTGATTAAGGGCAGTATATATGATATATTTGTAGCTAAATTTCTCCTTTTAACAGATAAGGTCAGAATTTAAATTTGGAAGTAAAATGAATATAATCTTGAAGATTGTATATCACATAAATCTATTCAACAACCAACTACAATTTTTTAAAAGAATAAATTGAAGATTCCTCATACGTAATGCTTGTATACGTAGCCAAAAAGGAAGAAAAGAACAGAAAAATAAATATGAAGAACTAGTTTTCTGTTAGTTCTTTTATAGAAGATTCTTAGGAACACAGTTTCAATAATTATAATTCCAATATAATAAGAGTCGAGAAGAATAAGAAGAAAAAAAGGGTCTTTCTGCCTCTGATGTTGGAACCCTGATTTGGAAATCAAGGTTTTCATTAGAGAGGAGTTTTCAGTGTTTATGGAATAATACAATATATTACTTTGCAGTATCATTTTACTAGAAATTTTTAATGATTGCAGTGTAGGTTAAAGCATTGTAATGTAGTCAATAATTTCTGAAATAAAAAGGTTTAAAATATTCAATTCAATTTCAATATTCGTACAAAAGTCATACCTTGTACTCATATTTAATTACTGCCCCTAGATATTATAAGTTAAATAATACATTTTGTTGTTTAGCTGGCCCGGTAGCCAAGATTGGTAAGCTCAAGGGGATTGGTTTAGTGAGTTGTAGGTTCGAGTCTCTCGCATGCATGATTTTTTACCAAGTACTCTGGTATGTTTAGCCCCCCTCCCCCACCGTTCTCAAGGCACCCCTTCATTCCTTGAGTGGCATAGGAGCATGTGTTTGTTACACCTGAACAGTGCCAGTACCGGACTTCCTACCAGTGATGGTGTAACGCTGGTGACACCACGTGGCATTCCAAACAATCCTAGGAGCACAACAAAGCACCTCCTAGGCACAGCCTATGAACCTCCCCTGGCTAATTACTGGCCGGAACGAAGGGCCTGGTCAAAGGCTACGCAAATTTTGGATTTAGCAAGTATTCACCAAAAACACAGGCCCATGGGTCACTTCAGTCAGAGTGGGGAAACAATTTTCAGTGATTTGGTGGTTGCGCCTGGAGGTTGGCTAGTTTCAGTTGGTGGCAGGTAGTAATACAACCTCAGCAGTAGTTCCTCAAAAGACTTCCAAGAGTTGAAAGGGTTAAAAAGTACTTATACTCATACATATTGATGTTTAACAATAAGAAATGAAATCTTCATAAAATGCAATAGTGCACTTACATCTCAACGGTTTCACATCCTCGGGTGCAATGTCTGTCTTCTCCTTTTCTTGTTCTTTGTCAGATGAAGGACACATCATTGAAAGATCACTAATGAGATCAGGATTTAAGTGATCAACAGCGTCAGATATTTTGTCCATTAAAATAAGTGCTTCTGCACAATAAAGGTGACCTAGCATTCTAAAAGAATGAATATGTAAGCAATATTGACACAAAAGAAGACAAAAATTTCTGAGATAGATAATATGTTTATTTTAGGTTGCATCTACCACTTATGTGGTTAGAAACTTAATATCTGAGAATTTTGAAACTATATTCATACCAAGTGTAACAATTATTATTAACAACACTTTGGAAAGAAGCCGACTAATAATATTTTTACTGTCCATAGAAGCACTAAACAAAGCTTCTTTTAACCAAGTTAAAGCTAAACTGGACTTTCCCCCAAATTCCTATCTTTACAAAACCAGGAATCAAAAATTTTTCAACTGAAATATTTTTTGTTCCTGATAACTTATTAATAATAGTGAAAGGTGTTTCTACTTTTATGGCAGCTTAGATTACATATCCCAATAACAATGACAATACAGCCTGATTTTGTTATTATTTCTTCAATCTAACCAAATTCTCTCTCTTAATCCAACAGATAGTTCAAGCAACCCTAACTCCATTCATTCAGCTGAAGAGAAAATGTTATTATTAATGATAGCTTATTGGTACTATCCATACCTGAGAACTCCTGAAAGTTTAGACTGTGTGAGTAGCACCTGGGCATGACCCAATGCTACAATATAGTCGCCTAAACAGAGTGACACATAAGCGCTAGCAGCAAGCACAGAACAACGAAGGCTGTCAACTTCTTGCAACGAGAGAGGTGAGGATGGTCCAGCATACAACTTTCCTGGATGTGTAGGGACAGGGGGCACATCTGTGCCTTCAGTACTAAGTACAACAGGTTCCTCTGTCTGTGGTTCAGGCAACAATAGCAAAGCATTTCTTAAACAAAGACCTGCAAACTCTATAGTTGCCACTGGAATGGCGTAAGACTGTCCTTCACAATTATATTTGGAATCATTGGAAAGTTGTGATGTTAATATGACCTTGCGATGTAAACCACTTCCAATAATTATCTGTGTCAAATCTTTTCTTCTAGCTGGGATGTCAAAGTGAGATTCATTATTCTGAAAGAAGAAAAATAAATAAATAATGAGAAGACACTGCAGATATAAGAATGCCATCTATCCATAACATACATAATAGGGCAGTTGTTATTTTGATTAAGTTGGAATTTTTTTAATTTCCTCATTTCATAACATTAAAATATGAAAACCTGAAGGGTGCAAATTTTTGGGATGATTGCACAATATTCACTCATACCACCACATAGGAAAGAGTGGTGGGGGCCACAAGCACTAAAAAACGATTATTGCTTTGGTACTCAGCGCATTGTTAATGGCAATTGGAGGATGAATACTGTTCTGCTATAATTTCAATAGCATTTTATTAATTTTTTTTTTTATGCATGAAATAATTCTCAACTATAGACTCAAGTGAGTTCTTTACTATATTTTCACATGTTACCTACAGTCATAAAAGGACAGGAAAGAATACAAAAATTAAGTTAAAAAATTATGTTCTGTGTGGCATGGGTTAATAATGTTTAATTCCTCTGAAAATATACATACTTGCTTTTTCTCTATAATTGAGATATAATGAGAGGGAGAGAGAAAATATTTTTACTTTGCCAAAATAATAACCATCATAACATGTACAAATGCCATTATGGATTAGAGGATAAATTAAAAATTGTAGAATTGAATTGGTTCCCAATGGATTTTACAACAAAAAATGTTTTGGTTTCCATTTACGAAATTTACATCAATCACATTAATCAGTCCAGAGTCGGATCCTGAAGGTAGTTCAGGGAGAAAGGATAAATTTCAGTTTGGACCCCCTGAAAATATTTTTGAATTAAAACTGAATTAATCGTTAGCTTGAAATAAAAAATGTAAGAGTACATTTATAAAGGGAATCATGTTTTGGATGTAATGAGGTCTATAGAATGTTTTTAAAAAATTTAAATGAGTAAAATTTAAAAAAAAAACCTTGGCACGGAAAGAGAAATTCTGAAGTCACATGAATATGCCAAAGGCACAATCTTTACATTCTTTCTTTACATTCTCACAATATTGTTAAAATTTGACAAACAAAAGTTAAAAAACCTATTTATTTACGGCTTCCTTAAGCAAAGAGGAGGTTAAGGTCTTCTTGAAAAATGTTTTCAAAGATTGATGAATATTTTCTAGAAAATTTGCAATTTCAATTATTTCATTTGCTCCATCATCACATAGCTATTTTATTTGATGTTACAAATATTTTACAGGAATCATCACTTACTGATTGGTGAGCCATAATGCAGCATTCAGCTAGTCGTAACCATAATCGAGGATTTGTGTGAAACACTTGCACTGCTTCAGTGAGACAATCAAAAGCTTGCTGAGCCTTTCCAGCATGTAATAACACAATTCCTAAATTGTACACGAGTTCATATTTTTTATTGGCTCCAAGGGTGTACAAAGGTCTCCCGGAGTAGGGTTCAGCTGCAACCAATTTTTTTTTTTTTTTAATTTTCAGTTGTGATTTGAGAAGGAAGACTTAAGGAGGAAGTAAATGAGTTTTTATCTTACCTGAATCAGCTTTGGGAAAACTTTTTAAAGCATTCTCATTCTCCAATAATGCCTTTTGTAAATAAAAACATGCCAAGTTTGGTTTACCAAGGTAATGATGAATGCAACCATTATTGTTATAAAAGTGAACTGAAGGTGCTTCTCCACAGTCTCTGTAATATAGAAAGCAAATTAATACAAAGGTATTTAAAGAAATGACTGAATGCAGCTCACAGTATCAACACAAACCATTCAGAACATCTCAATAATATACCCCAAAAAGATGTTAAGTTCACAATTAAGTAGTGATTTTGAGCAACAATTTTGTAATTGAATTTAGTTTTCTTATTTATTTATATTTTGGAGTTAAGGGGCCCTTCATCTACCAAAGCTACTGAGGTCCATGAGCAATGGTTCATGAGATGACAGTGATAATGATGATGAGGTGAATGAATCTGGATTTTTGGATAGATTGATTTGTGATTTCGAGCACATTAACAGCTAGGTCAATATTCCTGTAAGTGTAGTGTACGTTTTTTCCCGCATGGTGTGGCAGTAATCGTTTCCCACTTGATGACGAAATCCAGCGCTGACCTGTATGTCAGCTACTAGAGTTTTCCCTAACCAAATATCACCCACCAGCGGAGCACCGCTTCAGCCAGGACAAGCTCTAAGCTACCAACATGTGAGATAGTGGAGGGCATGTGAGTGTAAATGTGTGTCTGTAAGGGGTGAGAACAGGACAAGGAAGAGGAAGAAAAATTGCGCACAGTCTGTGACCCCATTTGTTAAGGTACAGTGTTCCACATTCACCAGGCGTTGACGAGAGAAACCACGGAAAACTATCAATAAGAGGATCTGGCTGCTAGAATTTGACCTAACTATCTAGCTAGTGCTGAAAGTCCCAGTTGAATAGGATCTCCCAGTCCTAGGACCTGAGCACTCCACTGACTTCAGTTGATGTCCTGAGTTACCTAAGCCGGTGAATGATGCATGAGAGAGGAAGGAGAAGCAACAGAAAATCTGTTAAAAACCTTAGTTTGTCCACCATAATGACAGAGCACAGGAAGGACTATACACCAACTGGTACATCAAGAGCCTTCCCCCTCCCCTTTAGTTTATTAATCATCTTCATTGAATGCAGTTTCACGAGACTGAATTAAATACACATGAAAAAACTAAGTGCTTTGATGAAATTCTGATACACGAACTCAATCTTACAGCCATGCATTTCCCCCTCACCTGAGTGTTACAAATTGCTGGCCTAAACAATTTCCTAATTGTAGTGTTCTTCACTACAGCCAAAATAACATTTTGTCGTAACTTACATATTTGACAGCACTAAGAGTATGATATGACAAATAATGAGAAAGTATATTTTGTGTAATCTACACATCCTCACTAAATAAAATTCATTGATATTAATAATCCTTTGCATTAAAACAGAGAATGAATTTGAAAAAAGAAATTTAATCTGAATATTTAACTTACTTAAAAGAAAGATTATTCTGTGAAAGAGAACTTAAAACTTTCATAGCTTTCTTGTAATTTCCTCTCAAGTACTCCAAATTTGCTTTCAAAAACACTGATGATAGGTTCTGCAAAATGAAAGAATCATTCTGAAATATTATTAATCTAACAAGTAAGACTTTGTTGTAGAGACAGTAGGCTAGCAATTAAAAACGATATGACTGTAAACAAATGCAAAGATAACCACGTCACATAACAGTTCTTGATCATAAAAAAGTAAAACCATCCAGAGAACATGAATATAACCTTATAAATTAAATTATTACTTTTTGTAAAGAAAAAACTAAAAATTCTGAACCATTTCAACAATAAATTGAATCTTATATTACTTACCAATCCCCCTGAAGCAACAATACTCTTCAGTTCTCTTTTGCATGCTTTTAAGGCATGAGTAAGGAGATAACATCGTGCTCTGTATTGCAGCAATTTTACTCGAAAAGCATCAGTTGCAGCATCAACAGAAACAGGCTTTCGAAAGGAAAACAAAGCAATATACTAATTTTGTCCCCTAAACACAAATCACATGAAAACTTTCAATACACTTACTTTCTTCTCTTTGTGTTCCTTTTCTAAGGGTTTCATATCCTTCTCAGAAGTAATTACAGTATCCGTGGACACAAACTGATTTTCTATGTAAGCAATTAACGTAAGCGCTTTTTCTGGTTGGTAAGTGCATAAATGAAGCTCAATAAGGAGAAGACATACTCTGTGTGCAAGACTTTCCTCTATGGGAAAAAAAAAATTTAACAATTACCAATAATTATTATTTTGTGTACAAAACGTTTTTCTTATACACTACATACAGCATACGGAGAAAATGTCTCAATAAATAAATAAAATAAAACTTTAAGTACGAATGAACTATGAACAAAATACGACACTATTAACAAGTATTTTAGAAATCCCAAGTTGCAAAAACTCCAAAATACATTAAACAATATCTATTTTGATAATAAGCAAATAAATAATGATGAAAGAGACAAGTGAATTACATCAATAAACAACACAGAAGATACATACAGAATATTATCCATTCATACACATTCTAACTTACATTTGTTTCTGATCTGTTTTTGATATTAAGCAACATTCTACCCAAACTTGCACGTAGTTTCATACAAATCACTGAATGTAATTCAAACACATTTAAACTTTGAGTGGCAAACATATTCAAACATAAATACAACTCTTAAGTGGCATTCTTTACATTTTCACTAATGGAAATTCTAAACAATTAAAACATTCTTACAGACCATGTCATCATTTTATGTTAGCCTGAAAAAACCTGCTGTGAACTCTCTTTGTTCATCACAAATTCAACTGAAATTGAATGGGAGGCAAACTATGACACCCATGGTGCAAGTTGAGAAATCGGAATTCCGCATTGCAGGGCACTCAAGTTTGACAATCATAACCATTCATTTACCTTAGGTTAAGAAATACTATTTTCTGCATTCAGTTGAATGGCTTACAATTATGATAAAAGTGATATTTTATTCCATTAATTTATACTTCATACGAGACAATTATGAACAGTTGACTCCCACTTAACCAAATACTTTGAAACCAGTACCGCCAATATATAACAATTTGGCTGGCTGATGCATAATTCCCATTAAAGCATTAAAATACACTCCCAAAATTGTTTTTATTAGTATAAAAATAAGCTTACAGTCTGCTTTCATTTTAATATATCTATAATTTAAAAAAATTACTTTAATTGTAAACCTAACTTGAAAGGACGGATTTCTTTTGTTGGGAAGAAATTATGGTTAAAGTAGGGTACACCCTTAGAGAAGCGAGGCGGTGGGGTCTTCTTAGGCCCTCCCTTAAATTACACTATGCACTATGATAGAAATGAATAAAACTTATGGATAGGCGATTTTCATGTCCCGCCCTTCATATGCTTTGTTCCCGCTGCATTGTAATGCCAATTTACTTTCAAAGGCAAGTTTTCCCGCTTCATTGCCTGGATCAAAGTCACAGCGATACTTGGGCCTTTGGGTCTTTGGCCCTCGCGTTCTCTATAAACATCCTTGAGCTTATCCACCGCATAATAACCAATTCACTTTTATAAGAAAGCTCTTTGCAAGAAAGCCTCAAACTGCACAGTTATCGACGGAGCGGCGCGAAGTGCCGGTTTAAAAGACTTCTGTAAGTTGTACTGTACACTAGACTTCTGCCGAAATTATTGTCATCAACACCCTCAGTTTAGAAATGATTTTTCTGCCCTACTAGTGGATAATAAAACAGTATTCCTTCATTTATTAAAATGGTCCTTTTGTTGTCATCGTCTCGATGATCATCCACCGTCCCTCTTGCTTACTGGTCTCTAATTTAATGCCATACATGATAGTCACTGTTTGCCCATTCTCTTCATGTGTTTTCTCAATTTATTTTGGTATTCATTTTTTTCCTCTGCTAAGTTGTCTGCTTTTCTTTTTTAATTTTTTCATTTCAAATTTTGTATCTTCTTGTAATATGTAAAACTATCCTTCAAAGCTTCAACTGAGCTACTTCCACGCTTGGGAAGCACTAAAGATAGGTTAAAGTACACTACCGTATTTACAGTACATTTACACACATACATATTCTGTCTTATTAAATCGACTGTTAAATCTGACATTCAGAACAAAACTGTACTGTAAACATAAAAAATAGGCTCAAAAGGAATAGTGAATTCTCTTGTGCCTTTGCAGCTAGAAACGTGAAGCAACAGGTTCACAAGTCATCACCGTGAACCCACAGCATCAGGATAAAGCGAAGACCACTTAAGGAGGAGTCCACTGCACTTTATTGTCAGTCTAATAATCATTTCAAAGTAATTATATTGTTCATGAATATTTTTGTTCATAACCAAAAGAAATACATGATAAATGATTCTGTAATACACATATAAACATACGTTTGACACATTTTTGCAGACAGGTTAAAACTAAGTAAAACTAGATCAAAGAATGAAATCATATCCTTACCCATTGGTTCAACAAAACTAAATATTTTATTCATAATCTTCAAAGCAGTGTTGTACTGTTTCAAGTGGTATAGCAGAACAGCTTGATTGTAATAAATTACACAGTGTTCAACATCCTCCAAAGAATCAAAGTCTTCAATATTTATACGGGCCTAAAAAATAACAATGTGTAAATGGTGAAAACTAATATAGACTGAACTAAAATATATTTCAGAGCTCCTGCTCTCATTTAAGATAAACAAACCTGACTGCACACAGAGTTCATTGTTTTTCTAAACTGGTCTGTTTTCTTTAGTTCACTTTTGTAGTATTCAGCAACAGCTTTGTTGTGCTGAACCTTGACGTCTTGGGGTCTCACTGACTCAAGCTTCCCAAGGTTTTGAAGGCAGGAACCAAAATTTTGTTTAGAGAAATCAGCTAGTGCAGATTGTGCCCAATCTCGTTCTTGGTCAGAAATTGTAGGGGCTGTTGCAGCTTCAGATTTCTTCTCTGTTTCCCCTTCTTTTTCAGCCATTATTAGCTAATATCAGTCTATTCTGACCTGAAGTATAGTGCTAATAAAAATATTACGAATGTTCAGTACACAACTAAGAATCAACAACATTCACATTTCTTGGATTGGAGATATAAAATACGTTTCTGTTGGTTTACAACCACTACTGCAACAGAAAATGAACAAATACGGAACTGTCATCAACCTATCATATAATCACACAAACACCATGGATGGCGCCATGACAAGAAATGACAATCGAAATCAGAATAGGCAACATCGATAAAAAATGGTATGCCCGTTTAACTATTACCAACATTACACCACAAATGTATATAATGAAGTCGAAGGAACACGCATTAACGTACTTGTTAATTCAAAGAGTACTATAATTAAATTAATAGTCTGAAATAAAACTCAAGAGTACAGAGCTCAACTCTGGGCTAGGCGTTTGCTAGATTTCCACATGCACATGAGTAGTTTGTGCAGTTTTATGAACGCACAGAAAGTGCAAATGCACGTTCACGTCACTGCGGTGCGACCATTCCTATTACTCGCGCAACTTTTCTTGAACGATGGATTGAAGAAATGAAGGTAGAGTGGGGGAATAAGTAACGAAATCAGCCACTAGATTTTATGAAACAATGTTAATCTTTGGAGAATCATGCCTTCGCAAAGTTCTCAATAATTTGCATTTTATCTTTCTCATGAGTTCGAGGCATCTCCTGTGATAGATCTTTTCCTGCTTCGGTCATTTCTTCAGATTTTTGGTGAAAATAATGGATTGAAGTTCTCCTTCAAAAGAAAATTGTTTCTATTTCGCGCCAGTGAAAATCCCTTATGGGCATTTATGGTCAATCCTGCAACTTAAAAAAAAACAACAGAAGGTCAAGAATGACTTAAGCCAACTTGCGCGCGCATTCCGTGTGCATAAATGCTAAGTTTATGTTTCAAGTCTCATTTTTCTGATTCAGATTACTCTTACTTCAGGAAGTCTGCTTTGATCGCCTATACTTTTCCCGTTGATGGGGTTGGTATGAGGCGATCTCGGAAATGAGAAAGTTTTCCGAGTCAATTGCTTTTTCAAAACAATTAGACACAATGTTTTTGATATGATCAATCAACAGTGGCATTGATAAATCGTTGACATTGGTGAGTCGTGTGAAATCCAAGAGTCAGGTATACTCCGACTTAAATGAAGTGTCATTTCAAGGTCTCAAGCTGGAAGGAGAGGGGACACTCATCCAATCGGGAGCTCCGTTACGACTTAAATTTTTGGTTCGGTTTGATTGATTGATTAGCAAATCCGGGCGATTAACTCCTAAAGTCATCAGTCCTACTCTTTAAGTCATTACTCCTAAAGTCAGTAGTGGATGTTTTTATCGCGGCATATGGCGAGGATCTTGCCTAGCTGGGTGGTGAGATCCAGCGCGACCTACACGCCGGCTTGCTGTGATTTCCTCTAACAGGTTTCTCCCACCAATGGCACCGTGCAAGTCGAGACAAGTTCTAAGCTCCTGATTGGTCTCCTGGTGGTTGTGAGTGTAACTGTAGTAAGTAGTGCATGTGAGTGTGTGTATGTAAGGAGTGATGAGGACAACGAAGAGGAAAGAAAGATCACGTGTGGTCCGTGGCCCGTTTGTTAGAGCATTAATTCTGTTCCGGCATTTGCTTGGTATTCATTGGAGAAACCACGGAAAACTACCCTTCAAAGTAGCTTGTTGAATTCTTCTTCTTCAGGCCGCAGCTGAATTCGACATTGTTGTCTAGATATAGTGCGATTTCTTTAACTGTGCACCTGAGCCCCTGATTTATACTCTCTGCTGAGCCCAGTCTTCACATTAGCATTGTTACTGCATTTCGTGTCTTTCTCGGTCGTGCCGCTAGATGTCGCATGATCGCTACTATATCAACCATCGCTTCATACGATCGCAACATCTAGCGGCATGACTGAGAAAGACACGTAATGCAGTGTCATAATGCCAAAGTGAAGACGGGGCTCAGGCGCACAGTTAAAAAATCGCACTAAAAAACATGAGACACGTGTAATCTGATCTCACACAGTGTCAGCACCATGGGTAGGCGAATACCCGGGTGAAAGGGAAAATCGAACCAATACGTCTCCTAACAAAGCAATTTTCTGTTCAGTCGGTGAAGTGGGGTTGCTTATAGAAATCATTTTTCTTCTCTTTACAACTTGATTCGTGGATGATCTTAAAGTGTTTACTAAGAATGAAGCGATTCTCTCACAAATGCTGTCTCTGGCCAATGATTTTAACAAGGACATCTGCATGAACTTTTGTCTTGAAATGAGCGAAAGTAAAGAGATACAAAGTAATGCCAGAGAGCATTGAAGTTGATATGCACTGTGATTCATGATCTTAAGTCAGGTAATACTTACAAATATCTGGGCATTGAAGAATACGAGAACTTCTCGAACGACACTATGAAAGAGAATTCGGAGGTACAGATCAGTGAGGCATAATCAGAAGAGTGAGGCTAGACCTGCAGTCCGCTCTGAAATCTCCGCAATAAGAAGTTTGACGGGGCCTGTAACTGAGTACAGTTTGGGACTAGTGGACTGGAATGGGCAAGAAATTCGAATCATGGATTAAAAAACAAAAAAACGAAAAATTCATCATGTTTCCATCCTCGAGCTGATATCCATACATGTCACGTAAGGAAGAATGAAGATGCCTCAGATGAATTGAAGCCTCATGGTACAATGCAATAGTGAAGATGGGAAAGTACGTAATTAGTCATCAAGATAACCCATTAAGGAAGTAGGTCATTAAATCTGACCGAAGAATGAGAAACAGAGGCATTACAAGATGCATTGCGAAAAAAGACAATGCAAGACTCGTAAAATTACACAGACACTGAACTTCTGATAAAAATATTAAAGAAACCGTAGACAAACCAATTCATGGACAATAAAAAGAATGGACAAGGTCCAGATCAATAAAGATAAATCATTTATGTGGCTCAAAAAGGAAAGAATGAAGCCAGAATCTGAAGTAGTTCTAATAGCTGCTCAAGATTATGTTGAGAACACATTATAATAAATTGGTTCTGAAAATTTTCCAAGATGATAAATGCCGCATTTGTTAGGAACGCGTAGAAACTATTAATCACATCGTCTCATCAGCTTGCCCAATTCTAGCAAAGACCGAATACTTTAATACACACGACAGGGTGTGTAGTTACCTCCACTGGCAGATATGTACCGCCTTCGAAGTAGCAAACACATGCTCCAAGTGGTACGACCTTACCAAAACCGGCGACGTCTGTTGGACTGTGTACCATACTGTAAGACCAGCAAATTCAAACCGACCACACGATTACAGTAAATAAACCGATTATTGTTATCCGGGATTTCCAGAAAAACGTGACCACTTGAAAATGTAGCCGCGTCATGCGATCAAAACGTCATAACCAAGAAGGCAGAGAAACGTTTTAAATACAAGTGTGGAAATCGAGATCAGCCGAATGTGGGGCGTAAAAGTGCAGGTGGTCCCGATAGTTCTCGGAGCTCTGGGATTTGTTCCGCGAAATTTCGCCAAACTCCCAGGTCACTCAAAAGATTGGGAAGTGCAAGACATTGCTATATTGGGAACAGCCCACATTTTGTGCAAAGTATAGTAGAGGCACCGGCAGTCTCTAGATCTGCTACTTAAGATGGTAGTTGCAACCTGGAGAAGACTTTAGAACCAACAATCTCGTAACATCTTTAGATAGAGAAATAATAGTAATAACAATATAATAATAATAATAATAATAATAAATATTTGAGTCCTTTTTAAATAGAAAACTAAGAGCAATTGGCTTAAATTAATCTAAGAAGACCAATGAATTCAAAATAACCATAGAAAAGAAAGAACCATTCAGAAAAATAATTCAAGATGAGCAGCTCAGATTCCCAGAAAAATCTAAATGCAGAAGAGGGGCAAAAGTGTCACAAGATAGAAAAAAGGCCACATCTGAAATAATGAAGGAATATTGGAAGAAACATAAGGAGAGAAAAACACATGAGAAGTAATTTATCTAACGTACTCCAAAGTGGGTAATCCTAAAGAAGAAGAATTGTAATAATGCCTTCTTTTCCGAAGCAGGCTCATCCGCCAGACCATGCAAATTCCGCTACTCTCCTTTCACTGTCTAGCAGAGAAAAGAGGTATCACTCGGGTGACGAAACTGGCGGTTTTTAAATTTCCTCAGAGGCTTCTTTTAGAATCTACAAAATGCGACAGCCGACTTTACGTAACCACCGAAGGATTTTTTCACCCTTAAAAATCCAAAATTTCGTGTTTGAACCCGAGAACTTGGGTGTAACAGCCCGATGCGCTAACCGTTACACCATCGAAGCCAGAAAATGTTAACAATAATTGAGTAATAGTAGGCTTCGTAATAGTATTATATTTTATCGGATCCTACTTAAATTTATATCAATATCTGTTACAATGTCTGATCTTTTTCGGAATGAAATTATGATCTCTCAGGTAGTGAATAAATGTGTTAATGGAATAATCACCATTCGGAAAATAAATCTCCATTTAATGAATTTTCTGTACAGTTGAATAATTCAAGAATAAAATATATGCTGCGCATTAAATGGTCTCACTTACCTGCAAGTATTTCGAAAATTGGAAATCAATAAATATATTTGATATTTTTATTATAATTTTTGTACAGCACGAAATGTACTACAATCAAGCGCGGACGTTAACAGGTTCCTGACTAGCCGTTGTAACAATAAAAAAACATTAATTAACTTACTAAAAGATAATGCAAATGCTATCGGATACCGCGAAATAAATCCAAACGAAAATAATAAGCATTTGAATATTCATAGCCACAATGTTCTCGCTTCAAATAAATCTCATTGTCATAATAGAAGTGTAGTATCAACAATGCACTCTAAAACGTATCATTTTGTTGCCAACTACCTTTCAAAACTATTCCACGTTCTCTTTCATCTTTCATTCTCTTTGTTTTTTATTAAAATAAAATTTGTGGAAATACTACAAAAGTTTTCAATGCTTAGTGCCAAACCTATCAAACAAAAATATCTTACTGTAAGCATAATACAATGGTTCTCACAGTTGAGCGTACAGATTTATTGTACCACTTTAATGGTACCATGAATGCTCCTCATATGCATATTTC